CCGCTACTTATTCTCCCAATCACTTTCTCGTATCTGCTGCAACTATATGCATTCCAAATGATTTTATCGCATTTGGTGAATTCGGCATTGCTCAGGCTATCTTTGCGTTTAGTTAAATTTACAACCTTCGACTGAATTTGTTTCCTGGACAAATACTCCTCCTCCTTCAATAAATCCTGAGCCTAGCCAAACCAGTTTCTTTATATTTTCCCCGTTTCAACTGCCAACTTGGCCTTCCGCCATAACATTTCGCTCTTCCTGCTTTCCTTTGTCTATGCAAGTGAAGATATTCTTGTAACACTAGAAAAGTAATATTCACAATATCTGCTGCCACTACGTGTCAAAACCCCAGGTAGACTGGTACTAGAAGGGCGGCAAGTTTTAGCTCCATCTGCATGTTTCGATCTCAAGTACAGTGCGCTGATACAAAATTACTGATATAGTCTGCCAAGACTAAGAACACTGAATTAAAATACCTGAAACAAATCGGACCATTTCGAGCTCTTCAGAGGGGCTTGCGATACACTCTGGAATGGTGCAGTGTTCACCGGGAAAGCAAGATCAATCAGGCCAAGTGTCAAATCCCTGCAATTTCTCCAAAATGAAACTTTCACAATTTTACACCAAAAGTGAGCTGTGATAAATTGGTAAACACACAGAAAATACTTAAAAAATATTCACAGAAGTCCGAATACGTTAACGCAAAAGATCACAGAAAAATTCTGTTTTTGCCATTTTAAAATTTATTTCTATGATTATCTCACTCGATGTAATTCTGAATTAATTTTACGATTGTAATGTTATTAATTCCAAGTCCACCACTTCACTTTCCTCAGTGTCTGCTCTTAAAAGTCATTTTGAATTTCCAGTTTGCGTCAGGCGCATCTGATAGCTTACGCCTTAGCTGAATTCACGTAGGAAACTTACCGACAGTGAACGACAACATCGGCAATTTGTCTGAGCGTCAGTGGGACAGCGGCATCAGCAAACCCTCCGTTTTGGAAGTCATCATCGTCAACAGTCATCAGTACATTCGTCATCATCGTTATAAACAAAGACAGAGCTGTTATTAGCGACTGCTCATCGCCCTGCGATATATTTTCACCCTGAAATGAATTTACACTTGGTTTCCGTTCTTGCTCCATTGTCGCGTGCAAAAAGAGACAATGTCACAAGATTTGTAACACAGTAAAAGTGAGGAGTGCCGTTTTTACAATTAGTTTCATGTTAATTAGTTTCATCGTCACTTTTCTTATCGCCACTGATGCAACTATCAACTTCTTCACCTAGGGGCAGTGAAGAAGTTGAAAGAAGTTTTTTTGCGAATGCACAAAATGTCAGTGAAAATCGCCACTGACATTTTCTGCATTCGCAACCAGACACATCAAAATCGGTATTCAAGGCTTTCCTTGCCTTTTTAACGCTGCATCGGTAACAATAAACAAATCCACTTTGTCCAACTGTTGTCTGCCATTTTTGTCACACAACCATTCGTTCTTCTTCCTAGCGCCCACCATCTCACTTATGCCAAATCAAAAGGCAGTAGCCGTTCACTCGCTAGCTGGATCACTTCAACTCTTTTCCCCAACAAGCATGATATTTTGTTTCAATTTACAAAAAAGAACTGGTAACATGGTATAGCTGGGTGAGGACATTCAAATTTCCAGCAACCCATGAAAAGCCTTTCTACAGCGAACCATTTTTAGAAAATCTTTATATTTTCTAGAAACACTACCAAAAAATAAAGGACCACTTACTCGTTCAAGCATTGATATAATTGGCTGAGTTGTGCCAAATACAGCTTTTGTGCTTAGAGATGTAATCAACTGCCACAAATTCGGGATCAACCGCCGAAATGAGGAAAATAGACTCATCAGTGCAGTATGATCGAGGAGCGAATGAAGGCGTATAAAGTAGGCTAGCGCACATACCGACGCGAGACCGTCGCGATGGGTCAGTAAAACATTCGTGAAGACTTCGTCCGACAACAGCTCGCGCAATTCGCTGATCACACTTTTTAAATAAAACGGTCGCGTCTGCAAAAAGCCATTGTCAAAGCAAAAACAGTTCCGCATTCACACTTTACAAGAAGCAGAAGTAACTCGACTGATATTACGGGACAAAAAAAAAAATCAAACCGGAAAGCTGACAGTGTCCCCTTCTTTTGGTGGTTGCCTAGAAGTTGACCGTATATCTCCGACATGTTCTGAACCAGCTTACCTCCGAAACCAATGAATAAATCATAAATGAAATGGAGTTTCGAAACATCTACCTCCAACATACCAGCACTGCTGCTTGCCAGTGAGCTATGCTCGTCAACCAATTAATACGGATTTCAAAAAGCAAAAAAATTCGAGTAGCCACCCATAATTATTTCCGTCAGCGGCGGCAAGCTATGAAAAAAAACTGAGTGCTGACTAAGCTGTATTTGCAGATAAAGCCATGCACCAAAAAAGGCAATACATTTTACAAGATCTTCGTCTACTTTCTGCACATCCCTTTTGATATGCTTGATCAGCTTTTGTTTCATCGTCGCATTTCTTCTTATCACTAACACTGCTGACAACTTCACCAATCTTTTCTATTTTGCAGGTTCCCCATCAATTATTGTTTGTGATTTTAGCTATTATGCGTTTTTACTGTGAACACACACACAGCGCTATAGCGTTGCTACAGCCAGCAAAAACGCATATTTTCGAGAGGCCGTGTGTGTGTTCGGAAGCGAGTGCATTTTGTCACTCTCATTCAGTTCCCCATCTACAGCCACTCACCTAGCCGTTCAAGCAGATCTCTCCCTCATAATGGTCGTTTTCTTTTTGTCTTCTTCTCACTACGCAAATACTGTTCTGTAACTCATTTCGCTCATTCAATGCCTCCCATTCTTTTCAAATGAACAGTGCAACTCTCCTTCGTGGCTTACATTATTTTCATATTTCTTACATCAACCAGAATCACAGCACTGGAAATGTAGAACACGCTACTGACAAGACATAAGCCAAAGCTAACCTTCTCAGCAAAAATGGGTATTCTACGTCCACACATTTGAAAGCACATTTGTAACATAGCAAAATTGAAAAGTGTAGCTTTCACATTTGCTGTTGTTACAATGGAATTGGAAAAAACATCGCGTAAATTGGCAATGGCCTAACTCCAAGCCCAACC